TTTTAAAAATATTCATTTACGAGTAAATGTCTACTCTTAGCCCTTACCGTTGCATATCAGGCCCTCCTCTTCCTCTACCTCGACCAAAAGCAAAGTCCTTTTTGTTTCTGTTATCTTGCCTTCTGAAATCAGACCTTTTGAAATCTGGTTTGCCTGAACAAATATTAAGTAAGGAAAAATTAAGTGACTAACTTTACAGACAGGTTTGTTGACAGTCTTTTGTCAGAGTTGGGTATTTTTACTAAAAAATGTGATAAATTATCYACTTCTAAATTCTTTTGAGTTCTAAAACAACACTTTGTGGAGGCAGCTCCAGGGTCACAAACTCAATCTAAAGCTGATAGCTTCAGCGATAAAACAGACTCTGTTCTTTTGTCTGATGTATAATTTACTATGGTGGAGTCCAATTATCTTGGCCTCCTTGTGACCAGGAAAGAGTTTCCATATTTAGGGTAAAATATCATTAGTGTTACACTGGTGTAAAGCACAATGATGAGAGTCCTATGTTCCCAAAGGAGCGAAGAGGACTAAACACACTGGTGCAAGTCCATGGCCTTAGATGGCCTTAACTTTAAGACATCTGGAGTTGAGGTAACTGGACTCTATCATGTTTACCTTATCCAATTATTACTTATTAGTAATTGCCCTATTTCACTATGACGTCACTGCTTGTTTATGTGTGGGATAGAATCGCCAAATCCAATAGAAAATTCAACGAAATTTGCTCCTAGCTAAACAGTTTAATCTAAAATGGCCTGGTTTTCAGATAAAATATGTGTTAATATGTACTAAAAAATATTCTGAGCGTTTGCTGGCTATTCTACTTCTCTCCATGGATTGATACGGGTTTTAGAACAATTTTTCGCTGAATTTGCATTTTTTTTGATCCCCTCTAACAACCATGATTTTTTGTGTTTAAACAATAGATTGTTTTGATGTGACGTCATAGTAAAAAAGGGCAATTGTTTACCTTGTTCTGGTCTTCTAGGTTTTTCTTCTTTAGGTCTTTCTGATGGGAACCTCTCTCTTTTTGATTTTTCACCTTCACTATCACTGTCATCTTTCTTTGCAGCTTCTGTTTTTAATAATAATTGGATATGGATATATTGACTTATTACAGAGTCGAATAACAATGTGTCGGAAATGTTACATGCAATATTGAACCAGCCTACCATTTTTTACTGCACTCTTTCCAGGATTCCCACTTTTGACCTCTTTATCTATATCATCGATGTCTTCATCACCATGAATACTAACAGCATCAAGATCTTCCTGAGSGGCTGGTCTAAGGAAAGAAAGCAGATCAATAATTGGTATTTATAAACAAACTAGTGGACTATTACAAATAGTGCGTTCTTAATGGCTAAGCTACCCAGGGCTAAATACATTGCCTAGCCAATAGATAGTGTCCAGCCAAACACCACTTAGGCCAGTCCTCTTGACKGGTCACATGTTGATTGGTCCGATGTGCCAAGTTGTCATCATGTCTGGCTATGAAGCAGCCATTGTTCTTAGCTGGACATTTGGCTTTAACCAGCCATTTAGTCAATCTTTAGCCCTGGAACACAGCTAGTTGAACAATGAAGTTTTTTWAAATTTTCTGTCGGTACTTTCAAACTTACTCTTCTCCTTCATCATCACTTTTCAGTAGCTTATCCTGGAGAGATAAAAAATATACCAAATAAGTGAATGCATTTTGAATCACATTTCTAACATAACTCTTGGTTCACTTGAGGTAAGGAATTTAGCATAAATCTTAGAAAAACTAGAAAAGTGTGGAAACAACTCACTCCTAAAGGAAAGAAATGCATTAGATAACAGGGATTTGGCATTTCCATGTTGCCTTCCTCAAAACATCAAATCTGCCCTACAACCCTGTGTCTTGAGACAGATGTTAAACTTAAATGTGATGTATTTAGATCCTGATGCTTAGTACAATGTTAGTACAGTTACAATTTTCTGAAAAATCATGAAGATTATATCAATATTATATTTTCATTTCCAATATAAAAAACTTTTACTATTAACTTCCTGGGTYGGGTATGGATATTTTCTGGAACTACACACTCAGTTGCTATTGTTGTGGTTACAATACTTACCTCATCTATATCACTTTCATGAGCTTCAGTATCTTTATTCTAAAGAAGGTTTTCAAAAATTCAACAAAACAGGTAATCAACTATAACTGATATATATATTTTAAAACATATGTTGTCAAATTTTGACTTTTTTGATTTACGAAAATGAGTTGTCATTTTTTACCTTTGTTTGATCTGCATCCATCTTGGTTTTCTTTGCACTGTTAATAGAAAATGAACTAAATCAATATAAATATAGTTTGACATGATATATGACCTCTGTGGTATAGAAAAACCCTTGAATTTTTTGTTTGAAACTTTTGATCACACAGCCCCCTTAAAAAGAAAATTTCTGTTTAGGGCATTTTAGTCTTGACAATGAAATTCTAATTTTGATTTTTTCCACCATTAATCTTCAAGGATTGACTCTTGATTTGAATGGGTGATCTACATTATTATTATAATTACATGTATCTTACTAGTACATTTATTTAGTTTAGTAAATTATTTATTTTTAAGCCGCAGTATTCCTTACCCATCTTCTTTGGTTGTTTGTTCTTGTCTCTCATCAGGGCCACCGCCTTTAGATCCCTTTCTTTGCCGTTCTGGTGTCTGGGAAGGTTTTGGCCCAGACTGTGTTCGTTTCCTACCTCGTCCCATTCCAGTTTCTGGCCTCATTTGAGGAACAGAGCCAGGACCTCCTTGCATTCTTGGCCTTTGTCCATGCATTCCATGTGACTGAGGTGGTCCTCGCGGACCCATATTAGGAGCTCTCATCAAGGGTCCATGTCCTCTTGGACCAGGGTGGCCAAAGTATGGTTCTGGTTGCCGTGGTGGCCCTTGCATCATCCCTGGAGGATGGTTGGAGTGAGGTGAACGGCCAAGTCCCATTGGACCATGGGGTGGGCGAGGCCCAAATCCTGGACGAAAACCTTGCCTTGGTCCCATGTGTCTTCTACCATGTTCTGAGACATAAAACCAAAATAAAAGTTAAAAGAGTCCACCTTTTTTTTAAAAGAAATACCTTCAATAGGTTGATTGTTTAACCTCAATATTTTCAGCATTGAATAAAACAGACAAGAATTACTTACCAAAATCAACACCAAGGCTTGAAACTAATTCATCTAGTAAAAATAATAATAATTATATCGTGAGATATCAGCTGTAGGTTTTGTTGAATCTTCATTGTTTTCAGTCTTAGTAATGTGAGGTAATTCATTGATACACTGTTACATGGTCAAATACTTGTGCATCTATTTAGCATGGTTGGTTTTTTGGATGAGCTTGGTTTAGTAGCTTTTTAATTCACCCTTTTGGCTCTAGCCATCACATTTGGACAATTCAGAATTTATAGATACTTGTGGTGTTTTGAAGTTTTCAAAATTGGGCGAGCCTTTAGATGATACATTAATTTGAATAAATTCTGAGTTATACGAATAGATTGCGCAGTTATGACTATGCTAAGATTCAGAAAATATTTTGATGTGTGTTTTTCATGACGCCCAGATGCCAATGACAGTAAAGAAACTTTTTACAATAACTTAAGCGCTGACTGGTTATTTATCATCAATAAGGGAACAGACAGATAAAGCTGACGTCAAGGAGGGCTCTCTCTTTTGGTTGGTTGTTTTGATTACTAARAATGAGAAGTCTTTATCGTCTTTGTTATTGTAAAAAACAAATAGACATCAGTTTTTTATGTGTCAGTCCTCTTATCATTGATAAGTTTCGTCATCACATTGTCAAAGTAGTATATGGATCACACTACTTTGACAATGTGATGGCTCAATTTATCATTAATAAGAGGACAGACACATAAAAAACTGATGTCTATTTGTTAAAATTGAATATTATGTTGGATTCAAACCCTTTTTTGAACAAGATATATTTATATAAAGTTAAGTCCCATTATCTTGATTCATGTGGGCTGGGTTGTACAAAGGGTGGATAGCACTATCCAATGAATAAATCCTTATCCAGTGGATAAATCAATGTCGTTATACAATAAATTTATCCACTGAATAAGATTTATAAGTTGGATAGCTCAGTACTTAAAATAACAGTCGGAAATCGGACAATGTCCAGCCAGAAAGGGGATTTGTTCTGTCAAATTTTTGCCTTGCCGGCAATGTTGACCAGTAACATAGTAAGAAATAAGTTATGACTAAAGTTATAAGCCAAAACTAATTTGAGCTGCAATCATGACCAGTGATTGATCAACTGTTATTTTAAGCCCTGTAGCACTATCAACCCTTCGTACAGCCAAACCCTGAGAGGAACAGTTTCAAAATAAGGGAGGTTTGAAATAACCAGATTAAAATCAGGTAAAGATAACAGGAAGTTCAAGATATCCAGTGAGAACCAGATTTAACTGTATTTAAATACAAAAATCAGGGTAGGATCATCTGCTGACTGACAATTGATTGTGTTGTGCTTTATGTTCTAGGGCTCAATGAGAATAAGTTTTTTTTGTGAAGCTGACAAGATGTCTGATGTCGGCCTATATATCTAGTTTGTTCCTTGGCTCTCTCCTATCATCCAACATTTTTTCTCATTAAATTCTCTAGTTTTCTTCCTCATTACCCAGCATACTGAATCTAAATTAGAAGTGCTTGGATTTAGATCAGTTGAAGCTTTAACATTTTAAAACCAAATAGTCATAATTATTCCAAACACATGGATGAGGAGAGGTAGGCTTTATATATAATTCTTAATGAAATCAAATTAAATACACAGTAAAGCTAAGCATTCTACTTGAACTCATTGACTGTAAGAAGATTCATAATAAATCTATCATGTAAGTCTTTAAGTAAAACAAGGACTCCTGTTTGAACAACTTGTTTAAGAATTACGATAAAAACCCTTCAAAATGTGACATTTCCATATTAAACTGATCAGACTTGTTCTAGCATGTGGTCATCATGTCACATTCACGCATAAAAAGTTGAAAGACTTTCAGCATTTTATACAGACCAAATACTGAACCGAACCGACGTCAATCTAAGCAGACACCTTCGACTTATCGTCATTACGAGTTATAAATAAGAAGATTCATTCAAACTCTCTATGATAAATCCCAAACCAGCGCTGGAATTCACGACTTTTCCTCATCCAACGTTCGACCTTACCTTCGCGAATATCCGTAAAATCCATCTTCTTCACGTAATTTGTGTCATTTAATAGCTAAATGGTTTTTGGTAGCTTGCAGGAGATGAAGGTGGTAAGTTAGTTAGTGTAGAATGCGGCACCGTTGATGATTTTAGTTAGTTGATTGTTTGGAACACAAGGTTAAGCCGCCATCTTTTCTTCTTCTGATGGGAAACGCGCGGTTGCAAAGGAGAACTCTGAAGCGAGGCAAAACAGACCCAAAACCACCCTCCCCTCCCCTGTTTTACGATGTTCAAGGGGAAAAAGAAGGAAGAAAGAAAGAAAGAAGGGAATAACATTTAGTTTGAAATAAGAAAATCATATTCTATCATTTTCCACCCTTGGCCATGTGCCAAATTCATTCCATTTATTTGTCYACATTTTCATGTTAGATTTCATATGTATGACTAGTTAATATTTTTTCCTTTATTTCATTATTTTTTTCGGTCGCCATCTACTTTGGTACACGAGGGTATGTGGAATTCGTTATTATCTTACGAGTCAATATAGCTGGCGCTCTCAGTCCGACTTTCGTTTCTTCACATGACGTTACAGGTCTTTTACATATAAGAGCAATAAAATAATACGTTTTGATGTACACTCTGACATATACTAATAATACAAAAATAGAAACCACATATATGAACAAGATAAACAAATGGAAAAATGAATAATGAAAGTGAAGGAGAGATGATAAGGTCTGACCAATCACAGGTGTCGTTGTAAGGATGTTTGTCAGGGGTTAGTATTATGGTCTGGCTCCGTCGCATTCCACAGAAAACAGCGCGAAATATGGCGACGAAGTGGGTTTTACGAGAGCCTTGTCGGACCTCTCTTTAGGGATTCAGCTCCATTTAGATATACTTGAACTAAACAAGTTCAATTATTTTATCAAAATGGACTCTTCTATAGCGAAGAAAACGCAAGAAACCTTAGGAAAGGTTATCAAGAAACCACCATTAACGGAGAAACTCTTGAGCAAACCTCCATTTCGCTTTCTTCATGACATTATAACCGAGGTAGATAAAATAGCATTTTGTACAGTTCTTGTGTGTTTAAATGGAGCCGTTTAATAGCTGTACATATTTTTAGGGTTATCTTTTCTAAGATGTAGTTTGGATTCTCTCAGGTTATAAAGAATACAGGGGTTTTAAAAGGTCTTTACACAGCAGACGAGATGAACTCTGCGAACGTTAAGGTTTGTATAAGAGATTGTCATTTTAGGCTTTTTTGTTTGTGTGCCTTAGTATATCTGGTTTTTCTGGTATTTTTATTAAACATAACTGTTTTTCTTAGGAAAAGGAAGCAAAAATTGCCTTTCTTCAAAAAGTAATCGACGTAGTTGGTAAGTTTTCAACCAAAGAATACTAGTTGTTTTGGTTGCTATGGTCGGTTGTCAACGTTAAAATCATTAAATTTAAAGAAGCTGGTTACTTGAGATGCAATAGTTAAGCATAAAACTGCTTCAAAAAATGAATTTTATTTTCAATATATCAAGTTCAAGTTTTTTGGAGCAATAGCTATACTGAAGACCGTTTATCTTCGTCTTAAATTTGGATGGTCATCGATGTTTTGATGTTGATGATTTGAGACTTGTACCGAATTTAAAATTTAGGTCTCCTTTAAAAATTTGTTTTTGTTGACTGTTCTTATCAAATGCTTTATATTTTTGGTCTATATTTATAAGTTTTCCTCAGTCACATAAACGGGGATCATTGTTTTACAATATGCTGTTGCAGCTGTTTTTGTAGTTTTATCTACCTAATAGTAAGTTTTAGATGTATTTTTCTATTTAAGAAAAATGTTTCCTTTACCACCTTCATCAATGTCACCAATGATTTCTAATTTCTAATGTTTACCATAAAAATTAACTTGACATCAATTCAGGGCATGAAATAAATGCTCGCAAACTTGCCAAATGTGAGTGAAATTTTTTATTTAGTAAGTAAGAAAAAATTAACAACACGTAGCTATGTTTTGTGAGCATAACCAGAGTCCAGAAATTGTAGGACTAAAAAGTTGAGAGCCTGCATTAAGTAATACAAGTCATTCATTGCGATCAAATGCTAGTGACTTTGAAATTTTTGCTAGTGAAAACAAAACTTACTATCAAGGTTTTGATAGTGGGTTTAAAAGTTAATTTTGTACCCTGATCATAATAAATATCAAAAAAACCTGGGGAATAATCCATCCTGGAAACAGGACCATAGCGAGGTCTTAAATATTGGGCTGCCCTACATACCATAAACAGGGGATCTATGTATTAGTAGAACTAAAATTTTTTGTRTCCAATATACAGTACTTACAGCAAAAATGATACCAAGGCATTCCGATAGCGAGCGATAAATGACTTGACAGCTGTTTCCCCCCTCGGGGTGGGGGGGAGGGGGAGAAGGGGGTTGCTTCCACATATGGACTAAACAGGGATGATCTGCTGAACAGGGTATGGTTTTTCGAGCTTCTTGACATAAACAGGGTATGCAATTTCACTCAAGTTCCAAGTTCTTCCTGAGTTTCATGCCATATTCAGAGTTTCTATTTTCGTATTGACCAAAGCTGGTTATTATGGTTGTAAAAAAAGTGACATGTGAGATGACATGATAATTGAAACAGGAACTCAGTACAATAAGTTATATGTTTTGTCATGAACAGGTTCTACAAATTTGAGTTTTTTTTTGTCATAAACAGGGTACCCCTTTTAGAATCCCAGCGGAACACCCCTACCCAAATTCTGGCGGAGTACCCCCCTGGGGGTTTTCCCATGCCTTTCAATAAACCTGGCTTTGCTCAATGAACTCAGCCTGCTATAAATTTGAGTGGTGGAAGCTAAAGCACCAGACATTAATTGAAGTCGGTTAAATCAGAAGCATGAAATAGACTGTAATTCCCTAAACTAAAGTATACTCATATATTTGCTAAAAAGTTTTTTCTGTTTCCAAATCTTTTTTACTTTTTTCTTTTTTCATTGTAGTAATTGCTAGTGGAGTAAGACTTTCTGTCAAACCAAGTAAAATTGTTGCAGGACATGAACCAGAAAAAACTAATGAACTACTTCAAGAACTTGCAAAAATTGTTATTAGCAAGGTTGGTATATAGTATAGTGTTGAAATTTTAAATACTGTAACTGAGATATGTAGGAAAATAGCTAGAGAAGTTTTGAGAAACGTCTTAATACAAGCTTAAGTCAACAAAAAATCATTATCACTGCAAAATCATTGTCTGGTCCAGCTAGAATGGAACATATGAAGCAGAGAGACTGAAAGGTATGCTGGAAAATGACATTATTATCCTCAGATGTATTCAGTTGAAACACGTAGTCGACATATGCGTTAAAAGTGTCCATGTTGTTTGTCACTGCAACAATTTATAAACATTCCATGAGTTGTGTCACTAGATACATCCAATTATTAATGCACATACATGTACTTTCATGTGCCATTGTCTCAGCTTCTATGTTCAGTATGTTTTGAACCAGACAATGATTTTGAAATTGAGAGTGTACCAATGTATGGGGTATTTTATGACTTACAGATAAATGCAGTAAGCTGGGAGTTTGGGACAGACACTAAGAATGGCTTCAAGGGAGACAAGTCAAATTTTTGCCTTGCTGGTCTTTTTGACCAGTATTGTTGAACCAGAAATGCGGTATTAAAACTAATTTGGTTGATCATACTGAAACAGCCATTATTTTAGCCCTGTATAATAAACCTCAGACGTAGAATTTTAAAGTTCTTTATTTTATCCAGAAAAGTACCAATGATGCAGTGAAAACAGTACTGAGTGGAGGCAAACCAGGCAAAGGATCTGCGTAAGTTTTTTTCTTATGACAAACCACATTTTTATATACCAAGTGTCAAAGTCAATTTYCTTTCTCTTCTCATTGGCCAAGAGCTGAGGGTGCCACATGATAGTCATAAAATTCCAGCATACATTTTGACCAGACAACATTGCATTTATATTCCATGGGAATAACAATACCAGAAGTGATTTCACTGAAAATTTAAGTTTTTCTAATTTAAAAATAATGATAACAAAATATATAATATATATTGCTTTGTGTTCTTTGACACTTAGTGGTATATAACAAAACTTCGCCTCAGTCAAAAAGTGTTAATTGAGACACCGATAAAGTCTGAAATGACTATTGTCATAATCATTGCCTTTTTTCTACTGAATTTTCCAGAGATGRGAAAAGAAAAGAATCAAGATCTAGTAGCAAAGATCGAGAGATATCAAAAGAAAAAGAAGGGGAAAAGAGTGCTGAACGTGGAAGTGGGAAAAAGGTATCGTATTGTGCCGAGCCTATATTTAGTTAAAATTTTTTTAAAGGTTAAAGGTCATTTCATTCAGTCATGTTGTTATCACTGATTATCATTTCTGAACTCATGATATTTTAGGCCTAATTCTCACAACATACAGCTGTAATACTGCATACATAGTGATAATTGTCTTTGCTAACCTTAAGAAATATGTTACGCAGCAGGCATACACAATTTAGAAATGTAAGTACAATCCCATGCATGATTGAGTATACTTACTGTTTATCAGACCTACCAGACCTAATAAACAGCTTGATTTATAAATTATCAACTACTTATTACTTCTTGTTTTTTCTTGTTGATGTTTTTTATCATGTGAATATATAGGAAAGTAGAAAAAAAGATGGAAATGGAGAGGAGAAAAAACAAAGGGAAAGTTCAGCTTCCAAAGAAGATTCTGGTAAAAAGGAAAAAAGGGATACAGAACGAAAGGAAAAAAGAAACAGATCGCAGGAAAGGGAAAAGGAGAGGGAGCCTGAAAAGGTACAATGACATTTAAATGAGCCACAAACTGAATATTTCTTCAGTGGTTACTATACTATACATATAATTAAACTATACTCTAATTTAATAGGTGTTTCTGCTCTATATAAAATATTTAAGATATAAATAATGTTGCATCATCTAACTTTTCTCACAGAAATACAGTAGGGCTCAGGGCTCGAAATAGCGGCCTGCCAATGCCCAAATGCCAGGCCAAATTAAGGTTTTGACAGGCAAAAATAATTATGAACTGCCAAATGGATAATAAAATTGCAGGCTAAATTTACTGGACATGATCTTTCACATTTTGTTTATCTGGTGATCGTTCCTATTTACAAATGAATCTCCTCCATATCTGTGAATATTGATTCGGGAGTCTGAAAATTGTGTAATTTTAATTTGTGGGAAGTCTTGTCTATTTCATGTGGCATGCCATAAAAATGAATAGCCATTCAAAATTTGTTTAACCGGTCAAAAATAAAAAACAGTGGCAAACCAATTTTTTTTCTATTTTGACCCCTGCATCTAGACCTTGCTCATCTCTATGAATTCTTGAAGTAGCTCAGTCATTTGTAAGAGATTTTTTCCTGGAATAATAGCTTGAAAAATCATAATTGACATTTTATATTAAATTGTTGGTGCTGTTATTTATTGTATCAAGCATATAAATTTTTTATTAAATTACTGAAAAGGAAAAAAAATCATAAGAATTTATTTGGCATTTTTCTTGTATCATGCAAGAGAAATATGTTACTGTTAAAAAAGCTGTTTGTTGTAAAAAAAGTATAAAGTTCAAGCCTGACACTAAAACTGACATCTCTAAAACTGATAACTTTGCTTATGAACATAATAATTCTTCTTTAAATATTTATCATTATTTTTCAATAAACAGCCATCAAGAACAGATGAAGACACGCCTGATGGAATAGATACTGGTCTGATTGATGGAAATCTAGAGGTTAAAACTTATGGCAACTACCTTAGTTTATTGTGTAGTCCTAGAATCTATCCCTGGCACACACCCCCCCCCCCCCCCAACCCCACCCTGCCCCTCCCCCTACACACACATACAGAGGAATTTTGAATTTCCGAGGAGCAGGGGCTGCTAGAGAAATAACATAATTATGAAGTTGCTAAGGAAGAAAATTTAAATTTCCAGGAGTAGGGGTGGGGGRTCTTTAAAAAAATTCCTCTGTGGGGGAGAGGGGGGAGGTATGGATAATTTCTGGAACTAAACATTAAATATTTTCTTCATTATCATTTATTACACATGATTAGCAAAGGCTTGGTTAAATAAAATTATCATAAAGAAATAGGCACAAAATAGAAGTCTGATCTAGAAAACACCTAGCACCTAGTAAGGAAGGAAGACTGCTTATTAACTTAATGCTCTCTATGTCATCGAGTTGCATCGAAGCTAGAATGACACATAAGAAGGAAGACTGCTTTTAGTTCTACCACTGTCTTTTAATTTAATTTAGTTTACTTATCAAATAAATATGTCAATTCTTTATTGAATTCATTAGTTGGAAATTTACTAGAAAGTAATTATCTTCAAACCTTTAACTTTAGGAAAGTGAATCACAGCAAAATCTTATTCCAAGACCTTCTTCTGCCAAAGGGCAAAGGAGAAGACAGCATGCTGATGATGAAGTAGAAGGTATGTCTTGTAAACCAGAAATAACCTGTTTAACTGCCAGACTTGATTGTCTCTTGCAATCACAGTTACAGTTCAAAAAATGCTCAGTGAAAGGCAATAGCACCCTTCAAAGTTCCCTGCATCAAAGCATGACGAACGGTGAGATTGCAATGATAGAGACATGCAAATAATATTGTTAAAGGTGTTAAAAAAGGCGTCTGTCTTTGCAAGCTCACCGTTTGTCTGGTTTCGATGCAAAGCCACAACTACCTTCCAAGATGGCACAGGAAACTGTGAAAAGGACTTTTTGAGGGTAAAACAGCTGGGGAATGAAAATGATAATATTTTTGTTCTGCAAATTCATTTACACCAGGAATTATTGTCAATGTTCCATACTACCTGTAATTTTCCCTGGAAAAATTCTGGAATTTCAGAGTTTCAGTAGTCTAGTTTATCAGTATATTTCATGGATTGTGGTTCTGCCTACTTATTATTACTGTTGCTTTTTTTCCAGATTCTCAAGGTGGGGAAACTGAAGGTAGAGTATATATATTTACTATATCACAAGTGGTTTTTAATTGGAGTATAAGTCTATTAAAGGATTGGTTATTCATTAGTGTAGCATAGGCTACTAAGCACAAAAGAAGCTTTAAAAGAGTTGCACGAGGTGTAGATGCCTAGGAGTCTACAGTATCTTCTTGAGTGCTTACAGATTAAGCAAGCAACCAAGTGCACCCAAAACTCAATGGAAGCACGCTCATCAATGACCAATGCTTTTATAACAAAGAAAAACTGTAAAAAGTCTTTGTTAATCCAAAAATCCAAAATTTTTTGTAACCAAATCTTTATTAAGTACTACATATTACGTAGTGCACACTACTCAATCACTTCAGCATGTACTGTACCATCACGTTTTGGAAGCACCCTCGCGCAGGCTAATTAAACTATAAGAATGTGGAGTATATCCAGGCTATGTTACATGTGGTATAGGCACCAGGTGCCTGCAGAGTCACCTTCGGCTATTGTGAAAAATCYGCACCATATGGTAAGGTGTCAGTAGGTGGTTGGCCGACCACTAACCRACACCTTACCGACCACTTACCAACCAATTACCGACACCTTACCAACACCTTACTGTCATCTTACTGATAACCAGATTTCAGAAATACAGCAAGTTATGAAGTCACCTTCTCTAAAAAGGATCTTTAATCTAGGATCCAACATAATATGAATGCAAATGTTCACTTTAGTCCATTATGACTGTCACGTAAAACTATTATAATTAAAAGTAAATAAACAAAGCATTAATGGTAGTTTAATAGCAGTCTGTTGATTTTATTTTATAGGTATAACTAGTACAGATTCTGTTCCAGCTTCTACAGAACAGATGAATGGGGTATTACATGAAAATGAGCTTCCTCAACAAGTTATCCAGAGGTGAGTATTAATGTTCATTCATCTGTGTACAAATAATTTTCTACTTGAAAGAGAAGAACAAAAGGTAAAGCTCTGCATAATATTAGTACAGTTTGTTACTTTCTTATGACCACATTAGTATTCTATTAACCTTCAAATTTTATCAAATACTCTGAAACGATCTGGTAGGCTGATCTTAGTCAGGACGCAGCTAATTCACAGATTGAATTGGAATGTCAGAGTGTTAATTAATTAGGTTTTTGAGGGGGGAATACTGGAGAACCGAGAGAAATACCCTTGAAACAACTAAGGGAGAGATCTAACACACTTGAACCCAAGACCTCTGAGAACTAAATGTACCATGACAAATACCAGTCATTTACATGTCAATTGCCGGCATTTAAGCAATTATAAAGTCTGTAAAGAGCTGTTATCTTGTGAGTATTAATTTTTTCCTGATCATTTCTGGTGGCGAAATGTTTGCTTCAAAACCTGGTGCATAGGCATCTATTAAAAGTAATGCTGATTATCTCCAAAACAAGCTCCGGACACCCCATTTTTCGTTTCATATTTAGAATCAGCATTAAATTTCACTCTAGAAAAATGGTAGTTTAAAAAAAAGTTTAAAATGTTTTCCAAAAGTAGCCTTAGCCTTAAAACTTTTAGAATTCTGTAAAGTTTTCATGATGTTCTCTAGAATTGCCTATTAGTATATGTATTAACTATTTTAATCTCTATTTTGACATTTGGTTATTTATTATTATTAAATTCAGCCGACGAATGGCACGACCAAGCAGTGCCAGACCAGCTCCCCCTAAAATTAAAAAGCAACAAGAAGAAATTGAAGACCAAATAGCAAGGTGTGTTAAAGCATTTTAAAGCAAATAATAATGTACTTGTAATGCAAGGAACTGACATTCTGGATTTTTTTTTAGAATTGGATCAGAAAAACAAAACACTAATGTTATAGTAGATGATGGTAAAGATGATGATGATGATGAGACATTTGTTGTTGAAGACAATCATTCCATAACTAATGACATTGACACAGTAAGTAAGGTAGTGCATAAGTTTGACCAAGCTGTTCAGTGTGCTGTATTTTTAGTGTCAAAGATTTACTGCTGACCTAACTTACTCTGCATCCTGGGTGAAATAAATTATAATTTGTATATATTATTTTGTTCATCCTAGGTTCCTAGCACAGAATCTCTTGAAGACAACAGTGGCCATGGTAAGTAAGCAGGTTGATTTTTCTTTCAATTAATGAAAGTAATTTGTGAAGTTTGCTAATGAGCRTGTCTCTTCCCCCCTAAAGGTGGCCTTGTTAGAAAAATTCTTGAGACCAAAAAAGAGCTGGAAGGAAGTAAAGAAGAATCTAGTACAAAACCTGTGAAGGTATAGGAATGTGAATCCTTTTGAAGTTTACAGAATAGGCATTGTACAAGATATTTGTTGCTCAAACTTTCTTTTATTCATAGGAAAAATCTATAATAAGTGATGCTGCCAGAAGGAAAGAAAGAGAGTTAGCACAGAAAGAAGTAAGATTTTTTTTGCTATATATTTTGTTACCATAATTACATGTTATATTCTAAGTTGGGCTCTTTTAACAATCTGTCTTATTAAAGCATGCTGTTGTTTTACCCTCAACCCCACATTGAAAAAAAAAAAGGATCTTACTCAAGGTTAAAATCAAAAGATCTTTTTTACCATGGGCATTAAGTTTTTTTTCATTCCAGACCAATTGTATCATTTTCTTTAGAATAAGATTCTTTGTTTGAGTTGTATCCATATTCATGTGTCTTCTCATGTGCAACCATCAAACCAAGTTATGATTCTCAAAAGAATGACATGACCTGAAATGGAAAGACTTCATGCTCCAGCTAAAGCGTCTATATCATTATATGTTTTGGAAAACTGATTTGAAAATCTAAAGGTCTTATTCCTCTAAATAAAAATCATTGTTCAAGATCTCAATAACCTTGATATTTTGGACAGTTTTGTTACTGCTTCTTATAAGCAGGGAATAATGTGCAGCATTATCCATAGCCCTTTTAACTTGAGTACTTTGTAAACTGTGCTGTAGATCGAAAAACTTCGAGGCAGTATCCAGACCTTAACAAGAAGTGCCAACCCACTTGGCAAAATAATGGACTACATACAAGAAGATGTTGACAGTATGAATAAAGAACTGGAGATGTGGAGAACAGAAAATAAAGAACATACTATAGCACTTAAAAGAGAGCAAAGGTAACAAGAACTGCATTTGACATCTTCATCTTATTGTGATAGGGTAAGGGGGGGGGGGGTGCAAAAATGTGTTCTGTCTAAAAGATTATTTTCAACATTGCATTTTCTTCTGCTGCAGTATTACTGACAGTGAGATCGAGCCGTTGAAGGCACAACTTGAAGGATTAGAATCTGATATCACAGAGATGGTGAGTTAAGGATATGATATGGGGCGGGGTGTAGTAGTAGTTCCCTCATCAAATCTAGATAAAAACCAGGTGCCAAAACTAAATGGCCGTGCAACACATTTTGGAAAGAAGTAAAATGAAATAAATCGTAGGATCTTGTCCTTACAGCATTTGTTTTATTTTTGCTTATTTGTTTGCTTGAGTAAGTTGTTGGTACGTATAAAGGTGTTGTAGGTTCCTACGATGCAATTGCGTGTTCCGACCAAATGTCTTTATTGCGCATCCAACAATTGATTTAATCATCGTAGCCTACAAAATCACTCGTTTGGTTTACTTTCTTAGTAGARTTAAAAACGTTTTCTTTTGTTTTCGTTCTAGGTTGACAGAATAAGCACAGTCAAATGCAACATTTTGAAAAATGAAGAAAAGATCCAAAAGATGTTGTCTAGTATATCGTTTAATTCCCGATAGCCAATGTTAATTGTACGTACAGTTTGACCGTGTTGTACAAATGTACTATAAAACAAACACACACACAGTCAAATCAAAATAACATACACACCAATGCACTTCCTTAGAGAGCAGGCTCATTCATACAACGGTCTTCAACTGGCATGAAAAACCAAGTATCGTGCTTGAAAAGCTGGGTACTTTTCTACATTGTGTCATTTCCGCTCCAGGGCAGGTCAATATTTTGATGTCTTTAGTTCTTTCGTCTTGAACACGAATTAAGAACTGAAAAAAGCTTAATCTTTTTGCGTGAATTATCAGAAGTCCTAAAGTGAAATAGTTTTTACTCCAGAAAGATAACTTCAAGGGCACTGACCTTTATTCTCTCTTGCCTTTACTTAACTTGAAGTCTCGTTCTATGATCGTCATTTCAGTATATACAGTTTCGGTTAATTTGCACGAAGCCATATTCATTCCCATCAGAACTAAAGCATTTGTTTCTGCCCGTTCAAACTCATTCTGAAGTGCATGAATGCGAGGCTAGCCGGACAATAATATATTGGCGGTTTCAGCCAATGGCATGGCTGCCGCGTGAGAAAGGATTCTAACTTGGGATGAGAGATACATCGAGCGAGACTTTGAGAGGGTCCTACTGTTTTTGTGCATGTTCTTCAGCTTCCAAATATAGCATAACTTCCATACTTTATTGGGAATCAAGGACTGGAATCTCTCACTGCTGTGATAATGTATATTTTTCTCTACATAGCGAATGGTGAAGCATGATAGCGTAACTTTGAAAGGATTTAATTTAAGAAATTGATAAAAACATTCTCTTTCTGCGAAATGTGTACATTTTAAAAATAGGAGTAGAAAAATCTTAGAAACTTAAACTTCATGCTGGCAATTGACCACGTTCAGCTTGCCCATCTCATGCGCTAGGTAATTACCCATACGTGACTTGCGCATCTTGTGGGTTAGGTGATAAAAATGCCTAGTTTGCGCATCTCATGCGCTAGGTATTTACCCATACGTGGCTTGCACATCTTGTGGGTTAGGCGATAAAAATGCCTAGTTTGCGCATCTCATGCGCTAGGTATTTACCCATACGTGGCTTTTGCGCATCTTGTGGTTTAGGTGATAAAAATGTCTAGTTTGCGCATCTCATGCGCTAGGTAATTACCCATACGTGGCTTTGCGCATCTTGTGGGTTAGGTGATAAAAATGCCTAGTTTGCGCATCTCATGCGCTAGGTAATTACCCATACGTGGCTTTGCGCGTCTTATGCGTTAGGTGAAAGAAATGCCTAGTTTGCGCATCCCATGCGCTAGGTAATCGCCAGTCTTTTACCCAGAGCTCCTAGGTCTCGTTCCGAGGAGCTCTGGGTACGAAACTGGGTAATGGTCAATACGTGGCTTGTGCATCACATGCGCTAGGCGATGAAGATGCCTATGGGTGATAACCTAACGCATGTCATGCGTTAGTTCATCACCCATACGTAGCTTGCGCGTGTTCTGGGTTAGGTGATGACCATGCCTATCTTGCGCATGACGTGCGCTAGGTGATCAACCACTTGGCAGCCCTGTCTTGCCAATCTTATGCTTTTCCATACCCTAATGCATTGTTTTAAAGGTATAGGGTCTCCATACCATTTGTAATCACCCAACTCGATTTCAAATTATGGAGTGTTTACTAGTAGATATGCGCTGACAGGTCGTATGTTCTGAGATTTTCCGCTGATTTGGATGAGTAATAGATGTTTTTAAAGGTCATCAAATAAGCCGTGCGCTTTACATCTCRGTAGGAGCCACTGGTCCACTACTAGACAACTTATATAAAACAGTAGTTGAAATAACATTTTTCACATTACCATTCAATATGGCGGAATTCTAATAACGACCTGCCGCGAGTGTTATAAGTCCCAAGGTTCAGACGCATTAATATGGCTATTAAACTGTTATTTATTCTTATCCACTTTCTGAAATATAAAAATACAGAATTGAATAATATTTTGTTGTAGGTGGAATAATATCGTGATGAACGGTTTTTTGAATGAAATAAAATATCTGAAAGCAAAAAAATTAAAATATAAGATTCAGTTTTGTGGATAGCTGTACATGTGGGTCTGCTGTAAATTTATTGTATGAGCCACTGTGTGCGCTTGTATATAGAACTTCTCAGGTTCAGCATTTGAGCACTCGCCAAAAGCATAATACGTCTTGCGATAATCAAAAGCAGTCTCGGAACTTGTCTATTAAGAAATGATCGCCATCAGGAAAAAGGTCACTCTAATACTAGTACTATTACCGAGTTTAAGCATGTTTTTGTGAATACCTACTGAGTAGCAAGCTTTTAAAAGTTGCAAAAATGAGAGAATGTATGAGGTTTGAGGACAGCGTCCGCAAAAAAACACATTCTCTCTCATTTTTACGATATGTTTGAAGCCTGCTAATTAGTATGTATTTGCCCAAACATTCTAAAACTGATAAACGTTATAACATTAGTATGATCTCTCGGCTTCGGCCGAGCTTCCTGATCAGTCTGTAATTCTTCGGATAGCGGTGTCGGGGCTAAAATCGCCTCCGGCGTAGCCGTAAATGCGTTCCGCTGCCATACGACGGTTCAGCACTCGATGTCTGGAAGTATGGTCCTTGTTTGATGAATCAAAAAGTAAAAATCCTAAAATCATATTTCCATACCAGATGAACTTTAAAAGAGATCGATTTAGAGCTGTAACCAGGGGTCTTGGGGGATAGGTGCACAGGGAATGGGATTGGAATTATGGATCTCCGCTTAACTAACAGCCGTCTTGAGAGGTGGTACGACGTTCCAAGGATTTGCAGAACCAAAATTGAAATAAAATAAATTTTTAAAAAGGTAAATGATCGATCCAATAACTAACCTACAACTGCAGGACAACAACAACAAATCCAATAATGGGTGAGCTAAGTTTAAAAATACTACAATTTGCAGATGAAAAGGGCAGTTAAAAAATTATGCATAAGTCAGCGGATTACCTTCAGCTTTTACGGGTGCACACAATGCATCCCCAACGACGCTTATCTTACTACTTTCACCACTTTTAGCACGTGCGATGATGGCAATCGAATAAAATGCGTATCCAAACCAATCAAATGTTATCCCGCAACATTGTTGACATAATAAAATCAAAAACATTAACACATTTACATGCATTAACACCAATTTCACATCATTCCTGCCTTTTACCTGTCTACTCTGATATCATTAACATACTTTTGTGTGAAATAATTTACATCTTATTTTGACCCTTTTCGGAAATATTTTTGCCGTTTTTAGATAGCAAATAACGGGTGTCCGCTGGTACGCGAAAGCACAAACTGTCCTCGATCCATCTTAAAAAAGTTTAATGGCACTGCACAATTCAACTCAATTCAGTAGCTCAATTTCTTTACACATTGCATCTTAATTGTTATCCGGCAGACCCCAAAGTACCTCAAACTAATTTTCATTTTCACTAATTGATTTTTCCATTTAACTCATTAACTAAACTCAAGAGAATATCCGCTACTATCACTACCATGATGCTCTACATGAACCCCGAGTGAACGATTTTGAGCTTCTTGTTAGTCGACAGCTGCTAAGAAACGAGGAGGTCTGTACCATATAATACGGAAGGCAATTTTCCCCGATCTGAAAGCAGGCAAGCAGGCCATCCGCGCTATACGAAATATCAGTTTCCTTTTTCTTACTTTTGCTCTTTCCCTTTCTCTCTCTCCATGCTTCTAAGCTTCTAATTCTTCCATTCCTTGCTTTTGCTCTTTCCCTTTCTACCCTCTCCCCTTAAGCTTTCTCAGCAACTGACAAGCTCTTTTCTATTTTCCGTTTAATTTGTGCGGCATATGCTTTATTTGCAAGCTGAAAACATAAAGACCATAGTAGCTGTTTAGATCATGCTTAAAGGAAAATGAAATAGGGAAATTCTTTTGTCAAACAGGAAAGTCTGAACATATAGCCGGAAAAAAACCTGTCTAGGGTTGTCATGCCTAGACATTATTGTCTCGCAATACCTATACACTTGTATTGTGATCAGACCACTGGTCAATTGAACTCCACAGATGAAGCGACAGCGACAGTACCTTGCGCCATGTCACCAACATTTCATAACACTGCGAGAAGAAACTGAGGGCTAGCCTTTGACTCCGAGCGCGCCGAACAAGTTAGTCATAAGCGGCCTGATTATATGGTCGATAATGCCACTTTTCGCTTCAGGCTAACTGAGAAAACACCGCAACGGTGGCCCTTTTGCTATCAGGCCCGCTTCACAAAAACGAAAATTAAATTGCTTGCACCATTTATGTAACCGGAACAAAGTTCTATTTGACTGCTCAAGGAAAGCATAATCAAGATTTACAATAAAGCATGTGGGCTTTTGATTAAAAAAAGAAATGCAACTCGATGTGCCTTTGCCATGTGCCTTTGCTAATAATTACATATTATTATATGGCAAGGTAATTTCACGCGCTATGATTGGTCAATTTGCGGTCCATAACTTACGGTACGGACCGAAAAATGAAATGGTTCACTGAGTGTACGTACTTATGATCTTTTAAAACATTCAAATCTTTATCAAAAAAATATATATCTGGATGAAAATCGTCGGAAAACCTTCAATAAATAATTAGAGATAACTGAAAGTTACTGGCATTTAATGTAAAACTTATCAAACAAGCGACAACTCTTTCATACAAGCGAAACTCTTT